AAGAAGAAGAAGAAGAAGAAGAAGAAGAAGAAGAAGAAGAAGAAGAAGAAGAAGAAGAAGAAGAAGAAGAGGAGGAAGAGGAGGAGGAGGAGGGAGAAGAAGGAGAAGAAGAAGGAGAAGAAGAAGGAGAAGAAGAAGAGGAGGAGGAGGAGGAGGAGGAGGCGGGGGCGGCTCTGGTCTTGCACTGTTGTTCTCTGTTTTGAGTCTAGAGAGAGCAGCAAGAATTTCAGTGGAATAAATAATAAGAAGAACAGAAGCATTGATTTGGAGGGGGACACTTTCACACTATGTTTTTAAAATCAGGAGAATCTTGAGGTGCCAGTCACAGCAGCAAAAACACACTGTCAATTGGCCTGAGAAAAATTAGTATCTACCACTGAGGATCATATCTCTGAAGTCCCCAAATACTAGAAACTTCATGATTATTTTCTGCAAATGTCACCTTAGTTGCAAAAATGGATCCAGCCACAATCTGGCTTCATCAGATCTCTCACTTGCAAATTGAAGGGTCCCATTGGTGGTTGACAGAGTCTTAGGAAAATGTGCTGACTGCCTCACATCTGAGAAGGAGAGGATCATGTGGTGAGATTTCCCACACATAGAGTTTGTTGTAGAGGGGCTTGGAAGTTAGCTAAGCAAGTGATTTATACCGATTACATCCCGGATAAATGATGATTTCTATGAAGCAAGAAAGTGTTGAATGTTTGGTATTCTATTTTTAAAAGTTGTAGAAAAATATGTATAAAGTAAAATTTACCATCTTATTTATTTTTAAGTGTTCTGTGGCATTAAGTACATTCACCCTATTGTGTATTCCTCATCATTCGTTTTCAGAACTTTTAATCTTTCCACACTGAAACTTTACCCATTAAAACTTACTAATCACCAACCTGCCAACAAACATTCTCCCTTTAGTCTCTAAGAATTTCACTTCTCTAGGAACTTCATATAAGTGGCATCATAGAATATTTGCCCTTTTGAGCACTTGGTAGTTTTAGTGATTATTATAAAACTGAATGTTCAGAAGAGTAGAAATGAAGATTATCAGGCAATGCACCTCAGGAATCTAAAGGAATATGCTTCATTAGACAAGTGGGCACAAGGAATGCTCTTGTTAATTTTGAAAAAAGAGAACTCTTTCTAGAGACATAAAAATCTCACCCACTAGTGTTTAACAGAGACTAGTTCACATTTCTGATAGGGTCAGTGCACAGCGATCATTCTACCTTCTAGAACAAGAGACTTCAGATTGTGTTTATATTTCTGGCTGGTGGAGGTGCTGATTATTTCTAGAATTGTGATGTGAAGATTTTTATTGGGCCCAGATTCCAAATGACTATGAAAAAACTCAGCTAATCATAGTTGGCAATGAAGAGATGAAAGATCACAGATACATTTTCTTTATCTTAGACACGGGCATTACAGCACTCAGATTGCTCTTGACAAATGTGCTTTTGGTGAAAACTGTCAATTATGGTCATAAACTGGATGACTGGAAGCTGAGAGAATATAGATATGACCTTTGTAATTCTAATTATCCTTGCTGTGCAAAACAACCAGAAGACAGAAGAAGTGACTTAACTAGGACATAATTTCCATGATTACAGTACTGACTACGTATTGTTGGTATTTACGCCGCTTTGATCTGGTGATTGTGGCATGTACCGGATGTCCTAGTTAAATAGAGATATTAGCATTTTATCCTATTCAGAATTTGTTGACCACTTACCAATAAGACTTCGGTTTTTTTCCTCATCAAGTCAGTTTAAGAGGAGAGATACAGTTTACCGCTTGAATGATTAAATCCAAGTGTGCTCCTCCTTTTTCTAGAGATAGATATTGATTGCTTTAAAAATGAAAGAGAAGATGGAAAAAGGAAGAAGAATACAATGTGTGCCCCAGTAAGTAAAAAATAGTCCCAGAGTCAATTCAGTATGTGAATTTGTAAGCTGTGTTGCCATCATTTTTTCTTTTTTCTTAATCTGTTTGAGACAGGGTCTCACTATGCAGTTCTGGCTGGCCTTGAGCTCACTTTGTAGCCCAGACTGGTCGGTCTGGAACTCGCAACGACCCTCCTGCCTCAGACTCCTGAGCGCTGGGATTACAGGCCTGCACCACCACGCTCGGCATCATCATTAAATACTGCTAATTAAATATAGCTAGAAGGAAACATACCTCGCTGACTCCTCTCACTTTAAATACATGACCAGTAAGTCCTTGACTTATCCTGGAATCCAGCTATGTTCCCTAGTTAGTTTACTCTCTGCTCTCCTTTGTAACTATTTTACACCTTCTTCTTTCCACTGGAATGTTCATCATCGCCCTTGCTTTTATACTTGCTGCAAGAATAGAAACAATGTGATGAGCATTTCCACGCATTGCTACTCCTGTATCTACCAACCTAATTACATTTGTACCAACATTGCTTGCTTTTCTAGCCTACAATAATAAAAGAATTATTGTTGCATTGGGTCCCATCCCCTCTTGAAAACTAAGATATGATTTCTATCATTCTCCTCTTCTCTTTTGCATTGTTAGCTTCTCTCTCAATTCTGGATAATCCTTATTAACATACAAGTGTGCTATTATAATCCCATCTGTAAGAACAACAACACCCTCTGCGGTGTCACATTTACCTTGGGTGCCATCTTGTCTTCTTGCTCTCTACTAAGATGAAATGCATTAAATGCAGGTTATACTTCCCTCTCCACTTTCTGTCCTCCCATCATCTCTAGAATTCTCTCTAGTCAGGTTTTTGTACTTAGCACTCAAAGTACAGTATCAAGGTCACTGCTGACTTCTGCACTGTCAAATCCAAGAGTCAGTGTTTGCTTTATTCAGTCTCTGCAGTGCGTAATGTGCTTGATGGCTCCCTGCTTCAAAGACTTTTCTTACTTGAGCTGTGGGATACTTGCTTGGTTACCATGTAACTTGCTGGTGGCTATTCCTTGCTCTGCTTGCTGGTTTCTCCTCATTCATAATGCTTCATTCCTTAGGCTTCCTTTCCTATCTATACTGACTTTTGGTTGTAGACCTTTATGTACTCTTAAGAATTGGTAATGATGCCCCCAAAATGTTTGGCTGCATGGGTTATCTCTATTGATAGTTATTAGAAATTGAAGCAGAAATGTAAAAACTTTTATTAGCTTATTCAAAAATATCAATAACAAATCCATTGTATACTGACATAAATAACTTCTCTCTCCCTCCTTCCCACTTTTCCTCTCTCCCTCCTTATCGTCCTCCTTCCTTCCTTCTTCCTTCCTTCCTTCCTTCCTTCCTTCCTTCCTTTTTTGCTGGGAGCAAACCCATGTCCTCATGCCTGCTAAGCAAGCATTCTGTCACTGACCTACAGCTACAGTCCCAAATAACACATTTTTGTGAAACATAGTTCCCAAAACAAACAATTAAGTGAAGAGCAGCATAGGTGTATATTTTTACAGGTACCTTTAAGGCTGGGTTAATAGAGAAACTGGATTCTCAGTCTGTACCTGTATCTAAGCTGTTGCCCTAACACAATGATGGCAACCTTTCAGAGCCACATAAAAGCTCTGACGAGCCATGGCTGGTGACACCATCACCTGGCCCCATTCCTCCCTTCCAAGCATCCACGCGGCCCCTGTGTGTATTGTTATCTGATGCGTGGCAGCTGAGGAGGTGCTGGGGCAACTTGGCTTGTGTGCCCACTGTAGCGTGCATGCCGGAGGTTTGCCACCACTGCACTAACCCACACGCCTCATGTAGACCCTGAAAAATTCCACTCTACAGTTGTGAGAGAAGGCAAATATTATCTTCAGATTACTATGAAAATAATGTTGACTCTGCGAATCTATTGAAAGGATCCTGGAAATTTACAGAGGTCTCACATCATGTATTGTGCATGATTGTCCTACGGGATCCATTCTGTGCCCGTATAGGTATGCCGGTGACTCCCAGGGCTTACGTCTGGGAGATGAATTCTCTGAATGCCAGACTCATGCTGTTTTGTAGTTAGCATCTCTTCTGAGATAGTTCAGCTTAAACACATCCCAACCTAAATTCCATGTACCCGAAAACGTGATAATCCTATACTTTATGTGTCAATAAATGACCTCCAGGAGCTTGCAAAAATAGATGATGTCATTCTTCTTTCTTTCCTATTCCAGATCAAATCCATTAACATATCCTTTCAGCTCTATCTGGGAAATGTTTCCCAAGTCCAACTTCTCATGAAAATTATTACCACCTGTCTTTCTCCAAGCTACCAAATCTCTTGCCAAGATTATTGCAACTAACTCCTGGCTGCCTCCTGCTTCCACATTTTGTCGTATATGTCTCTTTAACCTATCTCTCCTTTACAGAAGCCCAAAACATTTTTCTGGCACTTGAGTGAACACTGTTTAATGGCTTTCCGTCTGAACCAAAGTACAATCCGAAGCCCATGTCCTGGTTCGGGGACTTTGTGTGCTGCCACGCTTAGCTGCCCTTGATCTCTTGGAGCAGGAAGCACCTCTTTGCTCAACTGTAACACGTGTTTTCCCACCCCAGGTCTTTGAACTCAGTTATCTCTGCTAAGCCTGCTTCCCCCACACATGCCCCATGGCTCAGTGCCTTGCTTCCTTTAGGTTACCACTCGGATAACACCTCACAAGAGTAATTGGTGGTGACTCCCCTGTAAACCCTCGTGATCATTCTATCCTCTTTCACTGCTTTATTTATTCTTTTTATCACTCATCACCACTTGGTGCATTATGCACTTATTTGTTTATTGGTTTTCTCTCTTCCCAGGAGAATGTAAGCTTGAGGGCAGAGGCTTTCTGTTCTGTTCATTTCCATGTCTCCAGTGCCTGATTTATTGTTGGTATTTGTGCATCAAGGGCAAATGGCCAAGAAGCACATGCACCAGGCCTGCTGGAGCAGTGTTTATGGGGAAAACTCACGGAGACAGGAGCACTAAGAGGCCCCCTGTTGCTCTTTGCATTACAGAGCCTTGCACAGAGATCTAGCAAGTGCAGATGTTAGACTCCAGGAGAGGGTCCCTGACCCTTAGGCTATGGGCCTTTTAAGCTGCATGATTAGATAAACATCAGCACCTTCCCTGGATACAAAGCACTACAGACTGGCAGAACCTTGGCTCCACTTCTGTCCTGACAGCTCCAGTTTTGTGTTTGCTTAACATCAGCCCTTTTCTTGTTTAGATGAAGGGCTGTGATTCTCTGCTGTGACAAGGAAGTGGCACAGTTCACCACATTAAGATTTCAAGATTGGAAATGGAGAACTCCTAACCAAGGCATCTTTGGACATCGTGGCTCAAGCCTGTTTGACCAGCAACTGTTACCGTAAGCCCTGGGCCGTTGCCAGAAGTCATGGAACTTTGCAGAAGACCACTTCTTTTCCAGTCAACTAACCTTCAGGGCAAGATCACCTGTACCTGTTGGCACTTAATAGTTACTGAGTGAATTAATACTAGTGTACATGTACGTGCGTGTGGGTATGTGTACCTGTGCACACGTGCTTACTATACAGCATTTCCCAATTTGTGACCCTCATTTAGGACATTTAAAACAAGGAGGAGCAATATTGGGAGTGGGGAGCTCCTTGGGGTTCATAACAAGGATCTCCTGGGGTTCTATTTAATTTGCAGGGAAGGCATTGGATATAGGTACCCTCTTAAGCAAGTATAGTAAAATATTTTCCCTTATGCCAACATAGAGACTGGTTTGTGTAATGTAAAAACTATTAGTATCCTTGAAGTGTGTATTACTATCCTCCCAAGTTTGACACTGGAGTAATAATTAATTACTACAGAGAAGGAATAAAAATTTATATCATTGTTTGAAAGATAATATTCAAAATAATATTAAGATATATTTGCAATAAGCCTCTATTTTTAGAACATGATTTAAATAAGCTTGGAACACTACCTAGGGCTAGAAATTTTTTTATCATTTATAACTTTTTTCCTATAGCAAAGCATTTTTGAGTACAATATTACTTAAATTAATATTTGGAAGGAAATATTTAAAAATTAGATAATTGTTCTTTAAGTAATCTATGCTTTTCCTCTGGGAATTGTCTTAGTATTATTGGAAATAATCAAAATTTTTCCTGTGGATACAACAGAGTAGCAACTTCAGGGAGAAGACATAAAATTCTGTACACTACGGGTTGGGCACGGTGGCACATACCTTCAATCCCAGCATCTGGGGGGCTGAGCCAGGAGAACTGGTATAGGTTTGAGGCCATCCTGGGCTATATAGTGAGTTCAAGGCCAGCCTGAACTACAGAGTCTAAACAACAACAACAATAATTCTGTATGTTATAAAACTATCTTAATATTGTCATCTGTGATGATTAGTTTTATATGTCAACTTACTGGGCTAAGGGGTAGCCAGATAGCTCCTAAAACACTATTTCTAGGTGTGTCTATGAGAATGTTTCTGTAGGAGATTAACAGTTGAATAAGTAGACTGAGGGAAGAAGATAAACCCCCTTCATTGTGGACAGGCATCATCCAGTTTGTTGAGGACCCAAATAGAGAAAAGGTAGAAGAAATATGAGTTTTCTTGCTTCTTAAACTGGGACATTCATTTTATCTGGCCATGGCCACTGGGACTCCTGGTTCACTGGCCTTTGGACGCTAGAACTGCCTCTATCATTTCCACCCTGGGGCAAGAGTTATACGATGCTTCCTGTGGTTCTCAGGTCTTCGGTCTGGGACTCATCACACTGGCAGATTTTCTGGTTCTCTAGCTTGTAGCAGGAAGTTGTGAGCCTCAGGGGCACCATGACAGCATGAACCAGTTCCTATAATAAATCTCTCCCTCGCTTCTCTTGATTCGGCTTCTCTGGAGGCCCCTCAGTATTGCAGCATCCTAATGAACCTCATTGATTTCTCAGAAACTCGTTTGAGCTCCTCCTCTATGTCCCAACCCCATCACATAAGCTGATCACTCAGGGTCCTCAGCCATCTGTGGATTTCAAGATCAATGATATATCTTCATGTATCACCATCCCCAGATCCTCTGTAACATTTCATAGGCGTGATCACCTTTTCTTTTTTTATCTGTTGCCTCTTATTCTAATGTAGCCCTGTTTTGATTCTCTTCCTAACCATTTTCCATTTTTTTCTTTGTTTCCTTTCTTCTTCTTGTCAGCTAAATGAAAGACTTCTCAAAATTTTGACCTTGGCTCTCCCCCTTACCCTGTCCTGTTTGATGTTCATAGGCACCATCATTAACCTCTAAATTTTTTAATTAATTAAGTTTATTGGTACATTTTAGGTATATATAATGACCACATTCATCATAGGGAATTTGTACCTGCACATGATATAACGTGATTTTTTTCCATTCCCCTATCCTCCCTTCAACCCCTCTTCCCCTCCTTATTTACAAGAGCTTTGTGTCTATTTTTTCCTTTTTTCCTCATTTTTTTCTTTCCACTTCCTTCCTTTCTTCCCCCTCCCTAGTTCCCTTTCCCATTCAAACATTTTCTTCCTATTTCACAATATCTGTTATACATTTTGGTCTGTATTTACCCTTTCAGTTTCTCACACCAGGGAAACAATGTGATATTTGAACAGATATATCTCTTTCACTTAAGAGTGTGTTCTCAACGTGCATCCACTTACCTAGAAATGTCTCAAGTCTCTTCTTTATGGCATGAGTCATAAAGTACTCCATTGTATAAAAAAACCCACATCTATTCATAGATTGATGGACATCTAGGCTGTTTCCAAGATTTAGCTACTACAAGTTGTGCTGCTATATATGAGTGTTCATATATCATTTGTAGTATGATGCTTTTAATTTTGGGGGGACAATACCAAGAAGGGGAGTAACTGGGTCAAATAGGATCTCTAGTTTTAGTTTTTTGAGGACACTCTACGTTGATTTCCACAGTGGTTGCGCCAGTCTACATTCCTACCAGCTGTGGAGAAGGGTTCCTTTTTTCTCACAGTCCCACCAACATTTGTTATTGGTTGATGTCTTGATGATAGCCATTCTTTCTGGAGTGAGATGGAATCTCAGTGTTGTTTTAATTTGCTTCTCTGGAATAACCAGTGATATTGAACATTTTTTCACATATTTATTTGCTCATACCTCTTCACTTGAGAAATCTATTAGTTTCAGATGCCCATTTTTGGAATGGGTCTTTAAATTTGGAGGGGTCTAATTTTTTTGAGTTGTTTACATATTCTAGATAGCAGTTCTTTATCTGAGCAAAATTTTTTTCCCACTCTATGGGTTGTCTCTTCACTCTATTGGCTTCTTTTGCTGTAGCCCAGTGAACTTTTTACTAGTGTCTTCTGTGGACTTGCTGATTGCCTTGTTTATTAGGTCGTTATCTGTTTAGTTATATTCTCTCTGAGCTTGCCACACGCCTTATTGATCTGTTTTGTATCTCTTCTGTTATCTAGTCAAATAGCTCAGCTGTGTGGCTTTTGTTTTCCTCCCTTTGATGACTCATGCCTCAGCTTTGGGGAAGTTAAGAGTTTTTGGAGGCATTTTATTGCCTTGTCTTCTTATGTTTTGATCTTTAGTAAATGAAACTTTAGATCTACTAATAATAGAACAGTATTAAACAGCAATAGTATCGAGTTAATAAGTATCTAAATATTTGCTAAGCTTAGTAGTTACGCTAGTAAAGTTAGCAGTGCTGGGGAACTAGAGAATGAAAAAAGCAAGATTTGAAATATTAATCAATGAAACACTAGAATGAGGAGAGGAAAGAGAGATAGGGTGTGCCACTGAGCAGTAAAAGAAAATTAATAGCATTAGAGTCACAGGATGAGCAAGATGAACAAGACAAAGACAAAGAAAAACAGCAAAGTACAGGAACTAAAAGAAAGATAAGGAAGGAGAAAAGAATTAAAAGACAGAGAAAGAGAAAAGAAAGAAAAATTACTAATAAAAGAAAGCTACTAATAATAAAAAAATAGAAATTTAAAACAAACTGAATAACAATTCCTCTGTGTTTTTGAATGAGTAGTCTCTCTCCCTCTCTCTCTTTTTTTTTTTTTTTTTTTTGGTCTTTTTGAGACAGGGTCTCGCTATGCAGTTCAGGCTGGCCTTGAGCTCACTTTTTAGTCCAGGCTGGTCTCGAACTCCTAAGGATCCTCCTGCCTCAGCCTCCCACATGCTGAGATTACAGGCATACGCCACCAGGCCTAGCTAAATGAGTAGTCTCTTTGCAGGATCTGTGGTCTGGAATTCAGCCAGTCGTACCTTTTTCCTCCTAGCTTTTGGGTCTGTGGGTTTGTGAGGTGCCTTCCGTGTACCAGAGGGCCCTGTGTCTATGCACTGCAGACTGTGGCCCCTGTCCGCCCTGAGGCATATCCTTGCTCATGTTGGTAGATGGGAAAAGCAATCAGCTTTCTCATCTATTTTGTATGCAGGCCGCGGGGAGGGGGCTCAAGCAGACTGTTGGATATAATGTCAGTACTCTCCAGGCCTGGTTTCTCCCTGTCTCCCTGGGCATTGTCCTCATTCAGGATCGGGATGGTCACTTAATCTATACCTCTGCTGCCCTATGCTAAGGGGCAACAAAACATCAGGCTGGTGTAGTTGGTGAATGATTGTGCCACTGGCTGGTGGCCTGGAACTGCATCGCTCACACTGTGGGCCAGAAGCCTCTATTTCTTGAACTTATTGTGAATGAAATACTTTTCCTGATTGCTTTCTCATTAGCTCATTATTACTGTGTAAGCTGTGACTGAAAAAGACAGTGTGTTTAATTTAAAAAAATATTACAGTAAAAGACACATTGCCATAAAGCCTTTTCGAACTATTCCTCCGTGTTTCAATTATATTTATTCCATCTTTCTTGCCACTTTTTGAAATGGTCTTGGAAGTCTGCTGTCAGCTTGTTACTTGTACTGCCCTAACAGCCTCAATATCCTGAATAGATTCAAAATTTTTACCTTTTGTAGTCATTTTGACTTTGCAAAAGAGACAGAAGTCACATGGTACCAGATCTGGGGGATAAAGGGGATAAGAACACATCATAATGTTGTGGGAGCCCGCCTTTCTACTGGCTGCAACCTTCCCCTTATACGTACACATTTCACGCTGTGATGTCACGACAAAGGACTTCCAGGACTGCTGCAGGATGTGGCAGGAGCAATAGCATAAGTCTGTTGGAAGCAAGGAGGAGTATTTTTTGGGAGAATTAATGGCAGTGTACCTTTACACTAGTAATTATTTTCTAACTTAAACATTCACATATTTGTTGATCAACTAATGTATAAAAATGCTATGGATTTTAAATGTTGATTTTATATCCAGCCACTTTGCTAAACTTCTCTTCCTGAAAGTCTTTTGGCAAAGTATTTAGGATCTTCTAAGTATAAAATTATATCGTCCACATGTAAGAATAATTTGACTTTTTCCTTTCTTATTCCTTTCCCTTCTATGTTTTTTTCTTTTGCATGGTTGCTCTGGCCAAATCTTCAAGTACAGGTGCTCACTTTGGCAGAGCACAGACCAAAACTTTGAGTACACTGTTGAATCAGAATGACGAGAGTGCACATCTTTACCCTGTTCCTGCCTTAGAGGAAATGTGTTCAGTTTTTCCCCACTGAGAATGACGTTGGCTGTGGGCTTGTCATACCTGGTCTTTACTGTACTGAGGTGTGATCCTTAAATACCTAGTTTCTTTGAGGCTTTCATGAGGGTACGTTGAATTTTCTTGAAGGCTTTTTCTGTGCCAACTGAGACCCTGTGGCTTTTATCCTTGAATCTATTTATGTGATGTATTATATTTATTGATTTGCATATATTAAGCCATCCATGCACCTCTGAAATGAGAACAACTTGACCCTGGTGTATAATTTTTAA